AGGAAAAAGGTTGGGAACCAGTGTTTTAGCATTGTGGGGCAGAATCGTCTTTTCTTGACCATTTCATACCATCCTCTACCACCATCATTCTTTACCATGGTCTCAACACAAAACAAAACGTTGGCGTGTTGTTGATATAAATGTGTGTGTGCTCTACTGTGACTGCCGTTGCTACTGCAGCCGTCCCTGCGAGCAGTCAGTGAATAAAACAACCGTTTCCCCGAGGCCGTGCCTTGATCACGCTCACATTAATAATACTCTCATTTGGGTGGGCTCTTACTTCACTCGTGACAGTCGTTTCCTTGATGGGCGTCAAAAATTAACGATGAAGTGTTGTTTTCCAGTTCCAAAAATTTCAGGCCTGCCAAAGGTTAAGGAAACACGGCACCATAAAACAGAGCCTCTATGTTTGTCTTGAAACCGGGCAGCGTTTACTTGCACTTCTCAAGCTGTCGGACGTTCATTTTTATGCTGAGGCAACACTGTGTCCTGTTTGACAACGCTTTTTAAGTTTTAACTTCCTCTCACTCCATTACTGTTTAAGCCCTCAGATAGAAAACTTTCAAAAAATTAACCCTTCATACATTTGTTGGAGCTGCAGTACGTCTTGAAAGTAAAACAGGTCAACCTTTGGCAAACAAGTCTCAAATCTGATCCCAGTATAAGTCACCTGTCTCTGCAAAAGTGCCATTGAAATCCTGCCTGCAAATGCAAATATGCACCGTGATAATAAGCTGTCAAAAAATATTAGAAATCCTTTTAAGAGTAATTTCATTGATACTTTTTGGGAAGTGAACCAAAACACACAGGGAAAAGCGTGCATGTGTGTGTGTGTCGGCAGAAGCCAAACGTCTCTCTGCACTTTTGAGTTCCAGCACCAGCAGAGGAGTTCCTGTTGGCTGACAGAGCAGTTAATCCACGCAGAGGGGAAGCAGCTCCAAACAACCAGCAGAGAAACACAAGTCTGCCACTTTTCATCACCGCCTCAAAAACAGGCAACCTTAGACTCTTTGTGAGGAGATCGCTCCGGGGGCCGTACACAGTTGCAGATCTCTATAGCTTTACCAATCTGTTGGCAGAGGAATCACCTCCCATTATTGCTAATGACAGCCTTGAACTCGGAAGAATAGGATGAATAAAAGGCAGAGCAATTGGGGGGAGTGGGGGGGGGGTTCTTTTAGCAACTTGCATCATTGCACTGGCCACACAAAGGCAAAGCTTAACCTGACATTCCTGTGTAATTAAGACATCTCTCACATGGCACGTTTCTCTTGACCACTCGGGACCCTGGTACAGGACCGGAGGGTTTTCAAAGCAACCGAGGGCAGCCCATTCACATCTGTGATCACTAAGTAAGTGCAGCATGGCCATGAATGCAGTTAGACTGTAACACTCTGCAGGCATTGTTTTTAATACACTGACATTTAAATTGTGATCCCACTTGCCCTTTCCCGGGGACCAACTGCACCGGTGGAGCTGACAAAGAAACCAGGAAGGAGAGAAAGTTGTTCAGGGAACAAAACTTTGATATGTAAAGAAGATATGTACATCATGTTTGTGATATGTTTTCTTTATTATAAGGCAACTACGCTGCACAAAAATATCTTCATAAAATCTGTTTTTCTTTCACACAAGTGAAAAACCTGCAAGAGTATTTGAGTTATTTCTGATGGAATACAATTCCAATCAACTTATTTCAGGTAGTTTCTAAAAATCCATATCATTTTTTATTATTTTAGTGCAGCCTAATTTCTAGAGAATTCTATGGAAAAATTATGAAAAGATATTATATAATATTTATCCTGGCCATTTTGTTCACTTGTTTTGATAAAAAAAAAAAACTAAATGAAGTTGATTACACTTATTGGAGGTTATCTTGGAAAAACACAATTTTAAACGTCAAACTAGTTTTGGCTACAATCTATATTATGCATGAAAACTGCCAATAAAAGTTATTTTATTTTATAAAGTTATTTTTGACCCTCTTTTGCCACCTTAGGATTTCAGCTGTTAATTCCACTGAACACTAAAAAACTAATGCAAACTTTTTGAGTAATGACAACTTCTAATGAAATTATGTTCAACAAATGTACTACATTGAGTTAGGGGAATTAGCTTTTCCTCAACAATCAGAGGTATTTTGAATTACTTAATATTTGGTAGCATAAACGCGTTTTTAAAATGTTTAGGCTACTCATAAAATAAACTAGTTTTTCCACATTATTTACACAACTCATCAGAATACTGTTTGCAATTTAAAAGGTTCGTCTAAATCAATAAATTAGATTAAATTAGATTAGTTTTTAAATTGTGCAATAAATCCATGTAACTCAGTCTGCACTGGTTTTGCCCCACTTTCATCCCAGTGTGAGTCTGCTTTCATGTCGGTGTGTGAAAATGATCCTGAGAGGACAAATTATGTGATTGTTTCATTTGCTGATGTCGGAGCACTTCACGCTCTTGTGTTAACAATTAGCTAACAATAACAACTCACTTTGATGCTAACCAGGGTGGAAACGGGGTCACAACCTTTAACAGCCGCGCGGTTTCGCTGCGCTCCCCCCAGATCTCATTCACACACACAGATCTGATTGAGAAATGAAATAAAAACATCAGTGTGGGGAAATGCAGATTCCCATGAAGATCATGCATGCATTTTATTTTTGAGAAATCAATTGTGTCCAGATGTGTTATTAGGCCGGGATTAAAACAACCATAATGTATGAAGGCCTCACATAACTTCCCTCTTTATGTAATCATTCTTTAATTACACAAAGTAAGAGTTAATTGACTTATTTTTGCAATTTTAAATGTGCTGTAACTAATTTTCTTATAATCTCCTCATTGATGTTCACATCCCTTCTTCGAAACTACTTTCCCTTTCTTTTTTGTAATTGTGCGCATAAAATCTGGATGTAATTGGGATGTAAAAAAACCAACTCTGGACAGAATCAAAATGTGTATTAAAAGCTTACTGAATGGTCAAACATTCAAGGAAAATAGTCAAGATATCTAACTAAACTGTGACTGTGTCTGAAACCTGCATTTGTGGTCTGCTTGAACATTACTGCATTAAGCTGATTTAAAGACATGCATCAGTTCTTGCATTCATATATTTTTTGACTCCATCTAGTGGTGTAGATTTGCTGTTGCTTAAGAGTGTGACACTTACACTGGCTGCCTGAGCACAGATTTAAGAACAAAATCACACCTTTTGAGGCAGTAAGAGTAAACAGGAGGAAGTATTTGATTCCTGACGGAGCGGATCCTGCATGGATTTCTGGGTACGTTACATTAAGACACCACAACACCTGCTGAGGACGGCCTAGGACCTCCTCAAGCAAAAAGAGTCCCGACTACTTGAGAGCACTTTTACGTTAATACATTTTTAATGGTGTTGACTTTGGCTTGGTTTTAATTAATGACTTGGCTAAAGCAGCTGCTAAAGCTCCGGGAGGCTAGATCCTAAACTGAGTCCGTGAAGCTGAACGCACGGGCTGATTTTCTGTAAAAAAAAATTAAAAAATAAAAAAGAGCCGGATTTGTTTGTGATCAGTGTGATGCTGGATTTGATGCAACTACAAAGCATGACAATGTGGAAGCAGGAAAAAACATGTTTAGTCGTCACCACAAGAAGCCGTCACATTGCAAGTGGGAGAGGAACACATTACAAAGTAGGTTTTCCACAGTAACTGTATTGCAAAAGTAAACAAGGCTGACAATCATATCATTCAACAACAATATGCTTGTTCTCCTCGGGAATTTGCCATTTCTCCATGTCTTAAAAAAGTGAGCCATGACCTCAAACATAATCGTCTAAATACAGAAAAATATAGATTCAGGTCAAAAAGGATTGTAAATACTTACTAGTACTGTAAATAACAGTAAGGGAAGACAGCTACAACAGGTATCATTCACTGTCCTGGCACAGTGGATGCATTTAATAGGTCGGACATACAAAAATAAACCACAACAAAGCAACACACATATTGTACAAATAAAAACCTGAAAATATGTCCCACTGACAGAGTTTGATCGGAGCGCATGGCGTACTGTATCTGAGAAGTGGATGTGTGGTTTACATCTGTGACTAAAACACTGCTGCTATAGAGTACAGCACATTAAACCGTGTTCAAAATGTCCGGACCAAAATAAAACCGTGTTATGGAGGCGTGGACGCAGTTGCTTATAATTTTAATATTAACAATAATAATAATGTCACATTGGAAATGTTGATATCATGATAATGTTGACACTGAGTGAGGACAGGATGGAGATTAAACAAAAGTTTGCTAATGTAGATTCTAGTGTGTAAAATGTGATGCCCCCCAAACACACACACACACATCAGAAGAAAAAAAAATTGTCTGCTAAGGGTAATTTCACAAGTTGATGAGATATTCAAAAACAAAACAAAAAACTCTTAAGAATTGTACAAGTATAAAAAAGCTACAAACATTAATAAATTACATCACTGACACATAAACACTTCACAAGGTGCTAGTAAAATAATTCCGAAACCCTTCAGGATACTAGAACTTGAACAAGAGGCTGGTCATAGAAACTTTAAGTGTTTTTTTTTTTACCTTTTGTATAATTTTTCCTCAAAGCTTCGTCTCTTGTTCAAACAGAATCACAATACAATTAGCTTTGTGTATGTAAGGCCATATGACAATAAAATGTATTATTTCTTCAGTTGTTTTCCAGGCAACACCTTTGAATCTAACACAAAAAAAGTTAAAAATGAATCTCTGCTATTAAAAAAAACAAAACAACAAAAGTTCAAAAATTAGGACTATACTGTATATCCCATATATATATTTTTATTCATTTATTCATAATTAGCAAAACCAGTAAAAATGTAGAATTAAGCCTTAAGGGGAAAGGATACAAAAAGTAGTAATTTAAAAGGCTATGTACAAGCTACATTCTATATACTGTGTGAAGCTGTAAAAATGCAGAGATGAGTCTAAGTTGTCGGTGCTGCCTGAGAAAGCAAAAGAAGAGAGAAAGTATCCCCATGTAACTGCAGACCTGACATGGATGAGGCTTATCATTAGGTCCCACGTAGTGTCAGAAATCCTATGTCCAAACACACCAAATCCCGTTCAGCAGGCCTCCGTTCCCATTTAGTCCTACCATGGCCTGCGTTTTAACTGAAACATCCTGACACTGCTGCTGTTCGATACACTTTGTGCTTTACGGTTGTTCCACGAAGTCCCACTTCCTATCTACGAGTCGACACGAATAAATAAATACCACTGCTGATAGTGCTCTGCAAACGTTAAGTGTTAACATCAAGAGATAAATGCTCGAGTTGACTCCAATCGAAACCGCGAGCTTCTCCATAACACGGAGAATCCCGGCCAGGGAGGAAGAAAGGAGGTGACTTTTTTTTTCTTTTTCCATTTCTGCCCGTCGATCATCAGTGTGGCAATGATAAGCTGCATCCATATAGTAGGAATTAACGTGTAAAATCCCCAAACCCTGACCCAAGCGCACATGCAACTGAATACATGCAAGGGATACTTTCAAAAATCTTGGAATGACTGCAATGTACTTCTACTTCATGTCTTAGCAACCCCTGATAAACTGACAGCTGTAGTAAAATGAGACATGTTCTCTTAAAAAATATTTATAGTAGGTTCTGTACACTTTAATATCTGAAAGTTATAAAGTATAAGTAGAGGCAAAAACCTATTTGAGTGATGTTCTTCTTAGAAATTGAAAAATGCATGATCTTCTTTTTTTCCCATTGTTGGCTTTAATCAGTGAACAGGGGGTGAGGTTGGGATGGAACCCAGCTCATGAATTCCCAGTCCGACAGCAGTCTGCTGCATGCTACAGGAGGAGCTTTCCATTTCGATGGATCTTTAAAATCTTTCCAAGTCTCTGTTTGGCTGTTGCCATGCCTTTCTTTAGCCGCTTAGCTGTGAAAAGAACAAGAAAAGACAGGAGGTGAGACAGGATGGAGAGTTAGAGTGTCAGTGCTCCTGCTGCAGTGATCTAATCTAACAGTAGAACAGATCTAATAATCTTTACTCCCACATTAAGCTAAATATGCTAAAACCCGCCTGCATGTTTGCTAGCTAGGAGTCTTCTTCATCCCTGGCTTCATGCTGGAGCAGTGTTCATATGTTAAAAGGATCTTGCTGTATCATGAACCTCTGTTATCGCAGAGCTTATTTTCTGCAGCAATTCAAAATAGAGAAATCCCATTGACTTCTTGACGTAGGAACCAGGGCGATGCTGAATTCCGAGTGGCCTACAGAAACATGGCCTCCCTGCCACTGACATTGTATGTCCTGTGTGCTCCTATGGGACCCACTTATAAAAACATTGTTCCATAGCGCCACTAGTGTTCAATAAGTTCACGCACTCTTTAAGCTAATGTGATTTTTGGTGTAATTCCTCTCTGTTGCCAGTAGAGGTCTGTAATTTTCACAAAAATAAAAATGAATTATCACATGTCATGTATGTATGAAAATGCATGAATTCCTTCAAAATAAGTTGGATGTCCATGTTTAGACCCTGACAGACACATTTCCACACTTCAGGTTCAAAGTCCTTATCAGAGGGTCCACCCAATAAAGAAGTCCTTTTGTCACGACTCACCTTTGGCATCTGCTGACCCCACGCGGTCCCCCTTTGCAATACTGCTGCTGTTGGTGCTAGTGGAGTTGGTGCTGTTGTTGGGAGAGGACATGGACGGTCGTCTCTGGCTGAGGAAAACCCCCGGCGCCATGGGCTGTGGCCCTCCCGGAGACTTCACTGTCCCAGTGTTGAACTCGTGGTCTGTCAGGCTGCCATCTTGCGAGTCCAGATTGTGCTCTGGCGAGCTACTGTCCTGAGAGATTTTCGGGGGCTCCTCAATTACTATTGCCTTCTTTTTGGTGCTTTTCTTCTTCTTCTTGGTTTTCTGCTGCTCCTCCTGTTGATACAGATTTATCTGTTAAGCGATACCTGCAGTAATAGTTACTATTATAATATAGAAACTTTGTTGGGACATACCTGATGAGAAAGCTTTGCTGCAGCGGCGGCCAGTCCCGTTTCTATGGAGGCCACCCGGGCTCCGTCTCTCGCCGGCCGCTCCTGTCGAGGAACTGAGGGTCCTACGCGAGCTGTGATCACAGCGGTATAAGGGTTTAGAACACTTTATAAAACTGCAAAGTGCATAACTTTCATTAGTAGTGTAACTATTTACCTGTCGGGCTGTATGGAGTGTCGTCACTGCTTTTCCGTTTTTTCGATCTGGATTTGAACACAGGATTATCCTCTTCGGACTCCAGCGAGGGGTACACTGAAATCAAAAGACGTAACAGATTACGAACATGTCATGCATGTGAGGTTCTAAGTGAAACTTCACCAGCCAATTACTGTCACATATGTAAAGCATAGAATGTGACTTCACTTATTTCCACTTTCCGTGCATCTAAAATGGTGGAAGTTTCCAGTGACAGCATGCAGGACAGCTGTGAGACAGCTGTTGACTGCCCCTTCTCGCCGCCTGCTCACAGCACAGCCATTCCAATCTAGACTTTTAATATCTGATAATTGGATGATCAAGATAAAGAATGGCCTGTTTACAAAAGAGCAAAAGAGTGCCAGCGTGTGAGAAAAGCTTCATGCGGGCCTGAAGATTTCAGAATGTTCGTGCTACGAACAACTAATTAGACACTAATTAGAAGTTCAAAAAGCATGTAAAATAACAATTCGGAACTTGTGTTAATGGCTTATTAACAAGCTGGGAGGGGCCAAACAGCTGTGTTTGGACGGGGTTCACAAAGAAAACGTTTCGGAGGAAAAACTCACAAATTGGAGCAACACGAAAGGGCGCATTTGGAAAGGACGCATGAAAAATAAACATAAACCCTATCATCTACTCCTAATGAAAAGTTCCAGGCCAGATTTAGAAATAAGGACCCACATGTTGATCCATGAGGGTTCAATATGGTTTTAACAGCACCTGTTAGCAGCAGTGAGAATCAGGCATGGCGGATAATTATTTTCCCATTCGTTAGCTCAAAAAATAACCCTGTAACACTGCTCTGACCTCAGTGAGTCAGTCATCTGGTTTAAAAATTCAAACAAAACAGGAATGAGTCTGCTTTTTGGCGCTCACCGTAGTCCGAGTCCTTGAAACATGCGTCCATGTGATCCTGGTCGTCATCGTAGTCCAGGCTCTCAATACTGCTGCTTTTCCTGGGTTTCTTGGGGAGCCGTTTGGTGGGCCGCTTGCTGTTGTTGCCCCCTCCACCGCTGCCCTTCTTGCCACCCTGCGCGCCGTGCGAGTTGCTCTTCGACTGGCTATTGTTTTTGGACTGGCTGTTGCTCCACGGCGGCTGCAAGCTGTCTGAAGACGACAGGTTGGCCATGGACAGCATGCCCTGAATGGCCTCCTGTGTGCTGGGAGATGCAGGTGGCTGACTGTAAGTACGTCAATAAAAAATACACAACAACACAGCCATTACACACGCTGGCAGAGGTGAAGAGTGACTGAGAGAAATAGAAATTGAAAAAGGCTTTGAAGTCGAGGTTAACGTCAGCAGTTGTGCTATTAAGCATCATTACCGTTTGACACCCGTAAAATATTTAAAAATGTACCGGATCTGGAGGAGGAAAGCAAAGCTGTCCAATCGAAATACTCTCCACAAACTTGATTACTTAAAGAAGCACCTATTAAACTATTAGCTGCAACAACGAGCAAAGTGACTATCAAACACTGCCATAATGAACCACGGTCACTTCGTTCCCCACGCTCACCGACTTCCCTCTTCAAAGCACCAAAACAATTTGAGAAATTAACATATTTCAGCCCATGTTTTCATTCTTTCTTCCTTTCTTTCAGTGCTCATTTGTAGCTTTCAATGTGGTGGAAATAGACCATCAAGAGCTGAACAAAACAGCAAACGGCAACAGGCAAAGGGAAGAGCCTGGAGCCACGCAGTGTTTGATAGATTAAGGCGGAATGAAACAAACATTGGCTTAACACAAACTGCTGACAGAGTCTGCGTAAATTGTTGCTCCAGTCGCTAGTTGATTTTTCAGCTCTAAGCAAAGTTATAAAATTCAGCTTTTTCATCCAATTATATCATCGTCGCGCCAGCCATTTGTTTGTCAGTGGGTTGCCCCATTAAGGATTGTAAGTCCTAAAATTCATTTACTGAAAGGGAAAAAAAGGTCCAGTGGGAGCCATGTACTGTAACCAAAGTGTGTTTAGATGTAAAAGTTCCATTGGCGCTGAAGGAAATGGAGTGAAGAAGCAGAAAGTAATGACGTCAGGGGAAAGCAGACTACCTGTTGGTGCTGTAGTCAATCCCACCCACTTGCTTGCTTGCCTGCAGCAAGTCAAGAATCCCTGCAGCGCTGCCGCCCTTTTTCTTGACCTTAGAGTTGCGACTTTTGACCTCAGGCTTGGCCTCTGTGTCTATGTGCAGAGTCTCTTCGTCTGAGGAGTCGACACTCTGATCGAGGAGAAAGTGAAGAGAAAGGAAGAGAGATGAGACGTAGTGACAGAAGGACATACTGTTGCTTCAAAGTTGAGACATTTGCAGTTGATTTTCTTGTTCATGGGTATGTATATTATTATATATCCCACTGCTTTCACACCCTGTGTGTGAAAACACTAAAGTCCAATTTTAGAAAGAAAGAAGATGAAATAAGTGAAGGACCAGCACCTGGGAGGCCTGGGTTCGACTCCCCTGTGAGATGATTTTCTCTTAGTTGACTTATGATTTTTGTTTCTTTTTAAATTATCTTCTTTTTTTTAGTCACACAACAAACTTGGCAAGTTTAGGCAAAAAAACACTTAAATATGATATAGGTTCAAATACACACTTTCATTAACATTGTAAGTTAGAAAGGCTTTCTGGCAGAAAACGTCACCTGGCCAATCCTAGTGCTTGAATCTCACGCAGGGCGTGTTTTGCCAAGAAAAGCAGTGTGATCGCTAATAATGCCACTAGGGGGCCTCGAGGAAAAATGAGCTGTGGACCCCTACAGACCCCTCTTTGTGATTATATTTGGTATAACACTAATTTATTTAGATATATGCACCATGTACATTTTGACACATGCAGACAGAACAAGTAGTAATAGAGACCTTCCACAGGGCCTTGGTTGTTTCATTTGATATTCCCAAACTATTTTGCATTTAATAAAATGACCGCAAACATGAGACACACAAATCTGGGGCTTCTGCAACCCCAGAGCATCCGGATCCCCGGAGGGGCAGTTCCCCACTTTACCCATTTAGTGATCCGGCCTTGGATCTGACTATAAGACTATGATATGGTTCCCATTGACCTCTCATCAGTACACACAATAGCATCTGCTAGAAGTCGGTTTCTTCCTCTTCCTCCACCAATGCCACAGCTATTTCCCTCATCAGCGTGTGGTGGTCTACAGCTTAGGGAGCTTCTTCTTCTGACTTACCCAGAACGCTGAGTTGGTTATTTTATTTATTTATTATATAAATATTTATTTTTGTTATATATTTTTTTTTAGCATTTTTAGCTTTAAATGAGTAGTGCAGCATGTTCTTGTGCATGAAAATAAATAATAATTTCAGATGAAAAGAATTTCAACTAAAATGATTAGAGCTTTTGGAGGAATATAGCTGGCAACCACCAATTCAATTCAATTCAATT